GCTTAACCCCACGAAAAAATAAAAAAATATGAATTTGGAGAGCTTCCTGCGCAGAAGGGGTCTGAGGGGAGCTGCAGCTAGCGGAAGGGAGCGTGGGAGCGGGAGCCGGAGGGAGGGGAGCGAGCCGGCCCCGCTCGGTGGGCACGGAGCCACCAGGCTGCTGGGGAAAGCGCAGCCCTTCCGGCGCCGTCGCGGCTTCGCTCTCGGGCCGGTTTCTCCTTCCCTCCCGGCTCTGGAAGCGGAGCTGGCTTCGTTCTTGCCTCGCCGGGCTGGTTTCGGCTCGGGTGGGCGGTCCGCTCTCCTTCGCGAGACGAGCCGCGCAAGATAAGGGCAGAGGGGCCGCGTTTCTTGTGCGTCCACGGCGTTAATTAGCTTGTTCCCACATCAGGCTTTGCAGACAGCCAGGCTGTCACTGGCTTCAAGTCATCACCTCCAGCCAAAAAAAATGGAAAAAGGCACATTATAGCCTTTTTATAGACTAAAGTTGAAGCCATTTTGAGACCACGCTCTGTAGGCAGCCTGCAACTTTCTCCGTTTTATTAAAGGAATCGGTAGCATCTGCTAGGAACCTTAGCGGAGGCACTCGCAGCTTTACCCGCAGGAAGGAGTGGTAAGATCGCCCGATTTAAGACACCTTCATCTGTAGGAGATCCTGCATTTATTTCGCAGCGGTGTAGGCAGACTTGGCTCGAGGCGCCGAATACGCCCCTCCGCGATCTAATCCTGGCTTTCCTCGTTTCGCAGGTGATTTCCCTAGATCTGCGCTCCAGCCTGTCGGAGGGGAAGAAGCTCAACGGCCACGAGGGCGGCTCGGAAGGCAGAAGCGACGGGGAGGAGGAGCTCCGCTACACCCATATTCTCAACAGGGTGCTCCCGCCTGACATTCGGGTGCTGGCCTGGGCCCCCGTGGAGCCCGATTTCAGCGCCCGCTTCAGCTGCCTCAAGAGAACCTACCGTTATTTCTTCCCCTGCGCCGATCTGGACGTGGCCCTGATGCACGCCGCGGCCCAGAGGTACGTGGGGAGCCACGATTTCCGTAACCTGTGTAAAATGGACGTCGCCAACGGGGTGGTCAACTTCCAGAGAACGATCCTCAGCGCCGGAGTGACGTGGGTGGAGAGAGGAGGAGAAACCGGGCCGCAGGATCCCTTCCGTCTCTGCCAGTTTGAAGTGACGGGACAGGCCTTCCTCTATCACCAAGTCCGCTGCATGATGGCCATCCTCTTCCTCATCGGCCAGAGGATGGAGAGCCCCGAGATCATCGACGAGCTGCTGGATGTGGAGAAGAACCCCCGAAAACCGCAGTACAGGTACGGAGAGCTCGGGAAAATCTCCTGGGCTGCTTCTCGAAGCGACGGCTGCGCGCTGGCAAGCCACTTCTCAGCCAGCCTGCCAAGCAGTCTCTCACAATATGGAAGCAAGCTGCCAGTATCTGTAATGATCCCGGTTTTTTTGTTTTTTTTTTGCTCTCGGGCAAACTTTTGATGGCTTTTGTCCTTGGTATTTGGTTAAAACTAATTGAGTTTTTAATCGGAAAAAGGAGTTCTGTAGAAGACAGGGCTGTTTTTGGCAAAAAGCACAGGCTGATGCGCTGTTGCGCCAGCCTTTTTATCCCAGCATCCCTCCAGACAGCGACGGGTGACGCCTTCTCTCCTTTTCCCTAGCATGGCAGTTGAGTTTCCCCTCGTCCTGTACGACTGCGAGTTCGAAAACCTTCAGTGGCTCTACGACCGAGAAGTGCAGGAGTTCAACGTTACCCACCTGCAGCAGCTCTGGGCCAACCACGCAGTCAAAACTCAAGTGCTGCGTAACATGTTACGAGGGTTAGATGCCGCTCCCGTGGCTGCTGGAAAAAGTAAGGGATGGTTTTGTGACAACGCCTTGGGTTGGGAGGTGAATGGTTTAAAAAAAAATAAAGGGGTAATTAAATATCATTCAAACCATTGGTATTTTTTTTTCTTTTTTTAATTGTATCACAGGCCCGGGGAGCGGCGGGACCGTCCTCTGGGGAGATGCGAAGCCTCCGCTCCGCAGCCAGGTCAGCGGCTTCGTGGAAGGGGTCAAAGCCCGCACCTACAAGCCTTTACTGGCCCGGCCCAAGTGCGAGGGGCTGGAGGCCCGCATCCGCCATTTCGTGCGGAGGGGCCGCATCGAATCCCCCCAGGGCTGGGGGGCCGGCGGGGACCAGCAGCCCCCCGAGAGCAAGCGGAGCCACGGCGGGGCCGCGGAGCAGCCACCCAAGCGGGTCTGCGTCGACGCCGAGTGATGGCGAGGGGGTCACCTCGGCGGGAGGGGGGCAGCTTGCCGCTTCGGGTTCTTTTTTATTGAAAAAAGAAATAAAAATGCATTTTTCCAGTGCTATTTTTATAAATTTCGAGAATGAGTAGAGTGGTGCTGTGTCCTGGTCTGGGAGGGGATGGGGGGCGCCTCAGCCCCCTCAGAGCCGCTCACCTCACTGCGGGGCAGCTTGGGTGCTACTGGGACGTACTGGGCTGAGGCAGGCTGAGGCAGCCAGGGCCCACCCCCCCTGCTCGG